AGAGAGAAAGCTCTTCAGATGACCTTTTCTCTTATATTGACATCCAATAAATGCCATGTTGATGGTACAGATATAATCCTGACTACCATGGGAAATCCTTCCTCTTCTTAAAACAAGGCTGGATTGAAATTTCCATATTAAGCCATACTTTGGTTTGCTCTATACTGCCAGATGTCATGTCCCATATTCCAAAGAAGAGAGATACTTTAATTTCCCCCCTAGTAATTCTGTCAAAAGCTGTAATATGCACTGTTTCATACACTAATGTTTCCTTTGAGATCCTTTCCTTTACCCAATTAGACCAGCCATATTTTCCAAGCATAGAATTAACCAAGATTTTGAATTTCAACAGTGAACAAATCCTCAAGAACTACTGTCAGAATAGACAATAGCTAGATAGAAAAATAATTTGAACTGGTAGTAAGGCAGTTAATAGGTAGTTCTGGACTCTGATACTGTATCTCTTGAGTCCCAGAATGCTCCCATACCTTCTCCATATTCTGGAATTCCATCTTGAACTTCTCCACATCATCTTCAAGATATTTCACTTGGTCTTCAGACTAAATTAAGCATTTCCCACATCCAGAGGGCCAGAAATGAGAGAATTAGTGTGCAATATTAATAGTTTATATTTGTACTTGAAAGAGAAAAAGAGAACTCGGTTCACATGTACCATTTGGAATCCTGGATGGTACATCCATTCATTGGACTCAACAAAATAATAATTTTCAATACCAGTAAACTATTATCTGAAAGTGAAGTTGCAATCTTCCCACAAAAGCTATTCATACAGAATGCATAATACACATTCAGAAGCTTAGAATGCATAAGACTGCTGTTCTACTGGCACATATAGATTAGAAACAGAACCCAATTTAGACACTTCTGCTGGATACTGAACTTTATTATTTTCCTTTTCCCCCCTAAAGTTTAAAGTTAATTTCTTTATGTGTAAATGTATTCAGCTGTTATATGGATGTTTAAAAGAAACTAGCTGTCCCCAGCTGATCACTGCCTGGATAATTTACCTTTTCTTATACAACACAGCTTATAAACTCCCTTATTCTCTCTCCCCTCCCCTCCTCCTTCCTCTCTATATGTTTGAACTACAATCCCGAAACCCTCAGCCAGAATGGCTAGTATAGGCTAGGCTTTTGGGGAGTTGTAGTCATAAAAAGTAACTTTTCCAATCTCTACCACAGAAAAACATACAAGCAACAGCTGTAACACAACGTTTAATCAGAACCAGCTAAAATCACAAAGTAGTGAGTATGGTTTCAGATTTCACTATGATTCTATGAAAGCATCAATAGTTATCTGAACATGCCTGCAGTTCTAATCAGAACACACTGCTGCCCTGTATGGCAGAAAGAAAGAAAGAAAGAAAGAAAGAAAGAAAGAAAGAAAGAAGAAAAGAAAAAACATTTGTTGTGTGCTTCCGAGTCAATTCTGACTTATGGTGACCCTAAAACAAACCTATCATGGGTTTTTCTTGCCATGATTTGTTAACAGGAGGTTTGCCATTGCCTTCCCCTGAGGCTGAGAACATGCCCAAGGTCACCCAGTGAACAGGGAATCGAACCCTGGTCTCCAGATCCGCAGTCCAACATTGAAACCATTACACCATGAGCAGTTCTTATATTAACAAAAATTATTTTCAAAATTAATTTCAGACAGTTTACATTTATATATGCATTTTATTTAAAATATTTGTAAGTAAACTTCTGCGGCTTAATGCTGCCCTTTTGAACGCCAGGTTGAGGCTGCGGCAACTGCACACTGCAGCCCCAACCAGCTTTTTGCCAGCACAAAAAGAAGCGGCATTTAAACGCTATGCTCTGAAGTTGCCCGGAAGCCAGTGCAAAGGGGTGGTCTGTTCTGCCCAAGTATACAATAGAAACCAAACTGGCCAGTATATCTGGACTGTAAAATGGATGGAGGGCAAGGTCTTTTGCTTATATATATAAGGGGTCCGTATGCACAACCCCAAAAGCCTGTACTTCCCCCAGGTTTCCACTGTCCTGTCCAGATGGTGCAGGCCATTAGACCTGGGCCAGGATGAGGCAGACTGGTCATGGATCCAGCGGGGCCCCAACCAGGTCTAAAAAGATAGGCTGTTTGCTGCAGAGTTTCTAGGAAACTCCATGGCAACAGCTGGTAGACTAGACAGCTCCATGGGCCCCATGGCTGCCTCTGCCATTGCATCAGCTTAGAAGACCCCCATCTCAGCCTGTGATGTCAGATGGGGGTACCTGGCTATGAGGGTGTAGCCAGGCATCCCATTTCCACCCTTATGGGCTGCAACGAGTCTTCTCAGCAGACATGATGGCGAAGGCAGGTACAGGCATGCAGTGGTAGCAGGTGCATGGCATGGCATGGTAGTGGGTGGGCTTGTAAACACCCACTGGCCCACTGTTTGATCTTGATCAGGACCTGGGGCAGGACAGAACGGGCTTGGCCAGTGCTAGCCTACCTGTCTGCTTATGACCAAAGTTCAATCCAGGGTCTAAATATCCTAAAGGCACCAGATCCCACCTTATCTTGGAAGCTAAGTAGTGTCAGCCCTGGTTAGTACTTGGATGGGAGACCATCAATGAATATCAGGTGCTATAAGTATATTTCAGGGGATGGAACTGGCAAAACCATCTCAGCACTGCTTGCCTAAGAAAATTGTATGAAATTCATGGGATCAGCATAAGTTGACCAGAGACTTGAAGGCACATGTAGACACACAAAGTTCAATCAATTTAGAGTAAGTGACAAACAGTCTGATCAAAGACTCTGGTTGCAGTAATTAGTAAGCAGAAAGTGGTATTTGAAAACAATTATGAAGTGTTCTCTCCCCACCCTGCAATTCATTGTCCCTTATACACATTACTACCTTCTGAAGTGCTTCTTCTGACGCAGCCAGCTTTGCTTTCCACACCTGTTCCTCCTTCTCTACACACTTCTGCAAGTCCCTGAGCATCTTTTCCTATAGTTTTGAGAGAGAAACAAATCATGAGGAGTGGGAGAAAGAAGTAGAAGCAACTTTGGACCTTTAGTGATAACAAGTTTATTTTACTCCGTGGATGGGTTATCCTCACTGAATTATTTCTTCTATTTGACCTGACTGGCCCATGAATAAGGCTTCCATAGTTTCTTGATCAACCTCTAACCAATCTGAGGTCTTGAAAACCCTTCAGCTTGAAAAAAAGTATATAAAAGACAAAATAATTAACTACTAAAGGTTGCTATAAAACACAAAGTAGGGAAGAGGAAAGTGAGCAATATAGGACAATCAGCAAAACAAGAAAAGAGAGTCCCTCTAAACATTGGGAAGAACTTCCTGATGCCATGAGCTGCTGAGATAGATTCCCTTGGAAGATTGTTTCTCCTTCTTTGGAAGTCTCTAAACAGAAGTTGGATGGTCATCTTTCAGGAATGCTTTAGCTGCATTTCTGCACGACAAAGAATTCAACTAGCTGGCTGTCATAGTCCATTCCAATGATGATTGAACCATTCCCCTGAGGGAAAAATAAGTCCCCATAGTGGCTTACATACTATCAAAAAACAACACAGTGCTTTTATACACAACAAAATAAAAGAGATAGTAGAAGGATGGGGAACAAACAAACTCAGGCTCCTTTTATTGATGTTTAAATACTTCTTCTTATAATGACACTCATGCCAAACAACAAGTCCAAACCACTATTGCTAAAGGAAAGTAATAAATGGAAGGGTAAATTAGACTTGCAGGGGGAGTTGGGAATTGCTGGGCAGGACAATTAGCCAAGTTATAAGATTTCATAGATACTGCCTACTTCATCAGATGCACAAGTTTAAATTGGTAGATTTCACATGCTTAGGTGGTGTTAATCAGAAGCAGAAAATAAAATTACATAAATGGCCCCATGTAAATTAATAATTTAATTAATTAAAATGTTTTGGTTTAATAAAAAGGGGATGCAGTGGCTTAAGTGGTTAAGATGCTGACTCTGTTGATTGCAAGATCGCAGGTTGGCAGTTTGAGGCCTCGATGCTGCATGACGGGGTGAGCTCCTGTTACTAGTTCCAGCTTTTGCCAACCTAGCAGTTCAAAAGCATGCAAATGCAAGTAGATAAATAGGTACTGCTTCGGTGGGAAGGTAAACAGCGTTCTATGCAATCATGCTGGACCCATGATCACAGAGTAGTCTTTGACAATGCTGGCTCTTCGGCTTAGTAACGGAGATGAGCACCACCCCCTATGGTCGGACACAACTTGACAACCTTGTCAACGGGGAATACTTTTACCTTTATCTTGGCTAACAAGTTGTGTAAAAACTTTCCAAGCTCCAAACTGCTACAATCTTGCTAATGTTAAGAGGCACATCATTAGCAGATACATCATTTTAGTCAATATGGATAGTTCTTGTGGTTAGTGCCAGATGCACCTGGACCTTGGACTGGATGACTCTCAGTGCCAGAGCAGTGAACCAAGTCTCCAGTTCGGCTGTTCAGAGGAATAGGGACATAGAGTAGCAGTTACCATTCCATATTACAAATAGTCAACTGGCAAAGGATAAAATCCACACACTCCCTGGGTGGTGGATGTACAGGAGGTGGAAGAAGGGATGTTTTATTTTGCAGCTGTTCTTCCTTTTGCCAACTCTGCATTGAATAGGGAGTTGGACAAGTTCCAACTCTAAAATTCATGTTTCCTTTTCATCAATTTCAGCAGCCCCAAGAGAAGCCACTCTCACCTGTTTTCAGGACTACTTTCTAAGCATACCCTATAACATCTACACTCCCCTTCCCATTTTTTAAACAACTGCTTGGCAACAAAGGTCCACATTGAGCATGTGCCATGAAATAGCTTTGAGCAGGGTAGGGGATTCCTTGGCCCTTGAAACAAGTTCATCCTGTGAGTACCTAATCAGACGAGGAAGGGACCAGGGAATGCCATTCTCCAAATCACTCCATTTGCATAACCTGTCCCCTTGGGAATTCCCACCTCATCCTACTCATTGAGCAGGGAGAGGGGAACCTTGACTGTCCTCCTCAGGGAAGAAATTCCATAAGAAGAAATCCCCTCAAATTTTGTCTAATTAGAGATCAGGTAACAGTAACAGTAGGGATTCTCCCTACCCAACCCTGCAGCTCACCTTTCCAATTAAGAAGTCCAGCAAAATATGAGGAACTCTTGCTGATATCTCTTATTGGAGATAACAAAGGGAACCTTGACTGTGTCCTCATCATGGAAGAAACTGAAGGGTGTTCAAAGCTCCCCAACCCAAGTGCCAATTACATGACTACATCTACAATTGGCACTTGAGATCAGATGGGTAAAGTATGGAGTGGATAAAGCTTCCTCTCCCCCACTTTCTCTTGCAAGAGGAAGACAAAGAAATGGGAAAGGCAGATCTCTTGTTGCAGTTCTAGGTGGAGACAGCCAAAATGTGTGGGAGATCCATCAAAGTGCACCCAATAGAAAGACTTACAATAAATGTATTTGATCTGGCTGGTATGCAGTTTTCCTTACCGTCTCTGCAAGAGTGGTCCTGTACTGATCACATTCTGTTTGTAGTGTGCTAAGTGCCATATCCTAAAAGGAAAATTCACAGATGACCTTTCAATGGAATTGACATGGAGCAGAATTATTAACAGAATTGAAAGAGGTCACCAAGCCTATTCCTACACAGGCCACAGGTTTCAGTATGCCTGAAAGATAGCACTAATATAGCGTCAGTCAATACATATATGCAAATAGTACATTGCAGAAAAAAAGCACAGGCTCTGTGAGTTATCCCAAATACAGTGATTGTCCATCCACTATGTCTTTCCAAGTGAAAGGACAACTTCATAACATCCAGCATCCAGTTCTAAGCTTCTACTAAGTGTTCCAGAAGCTTTAAGGCAGCACTCCCAGCACAACTTTCCTCTGCCACCCCTTCACTTTTCTTGAAGCTTTTGAGAACTGCCACTTTAAAGTGTTCCAGGCAGGAGTGTCCAATAAAGCTGCCTTTCCTCGTGACAGAGGGGTGGGGTGACAGGATGGGTGATTTCCCATCACTGATTTTTAGGTATACTCACAGTCTCTGCTTTGGTATCCCTCTTTTCCAATGATTCCAAAGCTTTCTCTTTAAATTTCTCCAACCATTCTTCATACGTCTAGGAAGTAAACAAAGCAATAAACTACTTTGTATCATATCATATTCTTCCTAACAGAGTTTCAAGTTCTCTCCATACTATATTTTAAAGAGCTTATAAATGTAAGAATGCTTCTTTTTCATTGCCTACTTTCATACTTCTAGGGCTAAAACAAAAACCAAAACCTCAACATCTTGGATTAACCAAGGGCTTGTCTACATTATCTATATACCCTGAATTCCCCCTGGGCTGGCTGGGTGCTGTTTACACTACACATCCCCAAAACCAAGAATTGGGACTGGGCTGTTTACACAATGCCCAGACCCAATTCAGGGTTTCCATCCCTTGTCCAGCATTAAAGCTTACCTTTTGCTCTTGGTTTTCCAGAAAACCCAGGTCAAAAGGTGGCGAATACAGATGGCTGCTTTCAACACAGTCCCTTCTGAATCGCTCTGCAGGCATACATTGCTCTGAGGTCAGAACAAAGTACCCTGCCTCATCCAGATCTCAAAGTGACTCACA